AAAAACGAAAATTATTGTTTTTCGGAAAAATGGAAGAATACATAAAGATGACATATGGTTCTATAAAGGTCAGAAATTGGAAGTAGTAGAACAATTCACATATTTGGGAGTTGTTTTTAGATATGATAATAAGTTTAATGCACTACAAAAGCAGTTATCCGAACAAGGCCGAAAGGCATTGTTTGCGTTGTATTCTAAATGCAGGTCTATGCAGTTGAATTGTACCACATTTTTGACACATATGTCAACAGTATTGTATGCCATGCAGCGGAAGTCCGGGGTGCAAGTACCGGATTAGACATATAAGATACTTTATGTTAAAAAGTCAACATGCAATGTTATGGTGTATTTTGAACTAGGAAGATTTCCTATTATACATATAAGAAAATATCGTTGATAAAATATTGATTAAAAATTGTTAACTCAAATAACTGTATTTTGAAAACTGCATATGAAGTTTTGATGAAACTACCCAAACGAAATGATGTTTTTAATTGGGTTGACTATGTTAAAAATACCCGGTACAACCTTGGTTTTGGAGATGTATGGTTAAATAGAATAGTGTATTAATAAAATCTACTACCTGTAACTGAGCAAGATCCGGTTATCTCAGTCGAGGGTTAAGATTCTGTAACAAAATCCCCACCGAGGCGTAAGTCGGTGTTGTGATGTCACAGTATCTTAGCCCGAGACTAAGATAACCCGATCTTGTTCAATTACAGGTAAGTTATTTTTTTCTCGCACCTTTTAGTTCGAAAAGAAAATCAATTTTGCTAAAAACTACAAGTATCCCGCCTTGGGCCTCAAATGATAATGACCTCTTCACTACTTTAGCTACATTTGAATGCTTCCGCGTAAAAATGTAGTCCGTCCTTACATAGATTACAACGTATTTCACAGTGTAGATTATATTTCATCTACAACATCAAATATCTAGCAACATCAAAACTATACATATAACGACAAAACAGAATATTTATAATGCAAATTGTCAATTTCAAACAGTTAACACGCGGATGAATACATCGCAGTGTAAAAATTCCGCGAAATATCACGTAAAGGTACAAGACAGATCGGACGAGATAGAAAAATCTAGCATGGCGTATGACGTTGGATATCTCTGTCTGAGGTGCGAGAAATTGTTCTCACGTTGTACCTTTGATTAAGCTACGAATTTTTGACAACGCCCGTCAAGAATTATCCCACATTTTGAAAAAATCCTCTAAGTGTAATTTATAGTGTCATATAAGTGTCATATACAGATATTTAGCTAATGACATAGTTTTACAACATTATTTGACCAAGTGTTTACCATTGAAAAATAGAATTGTACTTGCACAAATAAGATTATCAGCTTATAGTCTATATGTTGAGACAGGCCGATATGGATATAGGCATATATAGCTGAAAGGCTATGTAAAATCTGTCAATCTCAACACAATATTGAGGATGAGTACCATTTTATTTGTGTATGTCCATTTATCAGGAAATTAGAAGGATATTTATAAAAAATGTATTATTGGAAAAGAGTGTCAGGTTTTAAACTAGTACAGCTTTAAAGTTCAACAAATACTATGGAATTGAATATGTTACTCAAATATATATACAATGCTACCAATTTGAGAAAATCATCAATGTAAAGTGTACTGATGTCCATTCTCCACTCGCTATGTGTCCCGCACGTCATGTTATTGTTCTGTAATATTTGTATGTGTATGTTATACATATGAGCTGTAAAGCTCAATGTAATAAAAGAATTTAAATTTGAATGTCACAGACACAAAAGACCGATATATCACGGTGTAGGTATTACCTGTGTCTCTTTTGTGGTCCCTAAAACGTACTTCATTACATTACGGAATACAGTGCCCTCGTAATCATGTCCCGTGGGTAGCGGCTTTGTCGCCATGTGACCTTAGTTCTTCAAACACAGGGGGGAACTCCTCAATAAACCTGTAATCCTATTAAGTGAATTAACAACGCAATGTTACATAATTAGAAGGTACGTGGTAGAGCGGCGTAGAGCTTACACATTTAACTACATGTATAGACGTCGCTGCCGATTTAAGTGAAATACGTGTAATATGCAAGCTAACTTGAGACATACATAGGTGTAAACCAATTAATGTACCCTCTAGATGTGGTTCTTTGCCCCTTGAAATTGAAAAAGGTAGGCATGCCCGACCTGTGATTCCTGTCAATAATAGGTTATGTAAATGGTGCAATAATGATGTAGAAAACGAGTATCATTTTTTAATGGAATGTATATATTATGATGATATTAGATCTGTAATTTTTACGAAAGCAAACAATGTATATGATTTTTTCAATGATATGAACAAATTTGAATAGTTTAGATATGTGATGTGTGAACCAGTTCTCCAAAAAACACTAGCTATCCGATAATCCAACGTTCTCCTATGTGGAGGAGAAGAACTATGTTTCTCCCATATTAAATTATGTATTATAATTAGTTATGCAGGTATGGGGTGGGGGATATATAATTTGTCGGTAGGGATAGGCCCAACCACTCTTGTATATCTCTTACCCTGTTGGGGTACATGGTATTATATATATGTAGGTGTAAAGAAAACATTGAGAAGTCCTTGTGTTGGAATTAAATATAAAAGAACTATGTTACATGTAGGTGTATATATTTAAGCATTGAACCGTTTCTGTATGGTATTTATGATCTATTTGAATTCAAATAGATCATAAATACCATACAAAAACAGTTCAATACTTATATTTACGTTTCTCTGCCTCTTATGTCCTTTTTTAACTTATAAATTATATTTAAAATCAAAAATGCCCGCCTTATCGACAGTCCAAACAATTTCGTTCAATAGTTTGAACAGCGTATTTGTCGCGTGCTGATTGGCAAACCAAGTAGTACTTTGAAATTTTAACAAACACTTCAATTTTATTCCACAATTCAGTATCAATACAATTGCGTATGATATGTCTATAGGGTGATTAAAGTTTATCAATAGAACTCTGAGCTGAAAGTTAGATTTGAAATTGTTTCGATTTTTCCCCGGAACAAATTTCGCGCATGGACAAATACAGTGAACACCGTAAATCAGACCTTGCCCTCCACGAGGGAGTTATTTTTGGAAGTTAATTCGTACTTCTCTTTGCTCATTTTGTGAAGAATCCAGGCGTGAATGTATTTGTTGATTGTATGGATACCGGAAAACAGTCGGTAGATGCTATAACAGCCTCGTTTTTGACATGTCGTCAGAAACTGAGGAACCATGGATCCGAGACGCGTGAAACTGATAGCGTTTGAAGTGAGTGATCTTGGTTTAAACTTGGTTTTATTCAAATTTTGTTTGACAATACATCGAAATACATGTTTTATAAAACAGAAAAGGAAATAAGAACAAGTGTCGTGACACTTATGTAAATTGAGTGATCATGCGACGGAGCACAGGTTCGTTACAAATGTCTGAAATGTTTATGTGTGCTGTGACTCATATCAGTAGGTGTGTAGCATATGTGTCAGTAGGTCTATAGAATATGTGTATTTCTGACATTTGTAACGAACCCGTGTTGATCAGTGCAGTGTAATAGACGATATTTCTGATAAATTGCATGAGCGTTAAAATTGTTTCCATTGCCGGCATTGGTGATTTCAACTGATGTTGCATTTTGTACGATATTGGTCTTGTTTTCGTTGTAAAACAGTGTTTTTTATTTTTTATTTTGCACATAAATTTACAATGACATTGTCAAATCTCACAATGGTTTCACAATAAAAAAAACAACACTTTTATTACAACGAAAACAGTACAAAATGCTAGCGAGCATTATGTTGTTTGCTTGCAAAGCTGTGTCATTCAAATAGATCATAATTACCATACAAAAACAGTTCAATGCTTAAATGCATAGTATAGTCCTGCTACTTGCAAAACAATTTTCCAAGCATAATTGTTTTTAGACTTTTACAAAGACTGGTTAATAACATTACATGTCTGAAGATAGTAAATAGTGTGACTGTTCTTATAACGTGTCTAATAAATCATTTTGGCTAGACACATTTTATATACTATGTGTTTGACACGAAAATTAAGTATTTGAACTTGAACTTGAACTTGATCATGAGTCAAAATAGGAAATGTGGGTTGCAGAAGAGAGGTAACTCTTAGATGAACACAGAGCTGACTATTGACGATTTTCAAAGGCAGAAAAAGATTTGTCAATTTAAGATAAATTCTGCTAGATACGCTACGAGAAGGCATTGATTAAATACAGGCAATGATACCTTTGGTATGGTATTCGTTCTTGTTTTTGTTTTTGTTTTGCTTCCAAAACGAAAAGAAATAACACAAACTGAGACGATACTAAAACAACATTAAAAATTAAATTCATATAACATGTTCTGAACTCGACTTTTATTACAATAGATATGTACATTTATCATGGTTTAGTTCAGAATTCAGACTTGTGACACATTTATTTTTAAACTGTCACATATTCTGAAAGCGTATAACGGACTTACCAAAGTAATGGGTTTGTTTTGACCGTATCTTTTAATCATCTTCTAAAGAAGTATGGTCATTCTTGTGACGGGGTCGTGTCCAGACACATGTGCCCTTAACTGACCACGTCCAAATTGCATGTAATTACGCAACTGTCTGTGACCTTGGTCATTACCTTGCTGTTACCGACGACACGGGCTCAGTGAACATAGACCTACACGCTTACATTAGGTTTATAGATACGGTTACGATGGAGAAAACACTTTGGTGATATACATTGAGGATTATTATCTAAAAAACGGTGAGGTGTTTTTTTTTAATTATTTGACTATTGTTAAACCAAGCACTGGTTATTTTGTAGCACTTTTCAGAACTATATTATTTCATTATTTTTGTTTATTTTCACGTGAATGCATATGAACTTGGACGGAGACTAGGATTTAGACTAGGAGTCCAAAAGTTCGAGTTTATTGTAATGAATGTAAACGAGACATGAAACTATTTTTTTTAAATTTTTTTTGCATTAACCTTTTACCATATTCAAACAGTTGCATGATGCGGGGGATATGTCAGAACGGAGTTGTGGTATATACAGCATACTTGTTAAACGATGTCGGTTACAACTACATACTTAGTAATCATTATTCAACAATTAATAAAACTTACTACAAAGTTATCTAACATAGTTATCACATAAAGCTTTATTAGGACAGTGTATACCTGCGTTGTAAAAGTACAAATTTCTACCCGCGCAAATCACGTCTGAATGAAATCGGGTTAGGATTAAGTGAAGGTAGCGCCTTCAATATTTATTATACGTCATTTATGTAACAGTGTGTATGGTTGGTTAAAGCACATCACGTGACCTTCTGAAATATGATCAAATAAAAAATTATGTACGAATGATATCACCATAAACCAATCGTGATTCACCGGAGCTTCATCCTCTTGAACCTTAATAGATGTCGGCATGTGATCTCATGCACCGTATACAGTACTTTATTAAATTGGCATAGTGGACAGACGGCAGGTGAAATCGCTGAACGAAAATGGACGATTAGTTACTTTGCTGTGGCATACTGCTTTAATTTTACAAACTTTCTATATCTCATTTCCACCACTGCTTCATCGGTGTGTCATATATTTTACTGTTGTATTTAAAATTTCAATTTTCGAATCTAGCCTAATTTCCGGATATGAGAAGGTAGAAAAAGAATCAAGAAATTCAATGCTATGGTGTGGAAGTAGGACCCAGGACCTCGGCAAGGTTCTGTTCCGACTCCAATCCTACACCCACTAACTGATACAATTTCCATATCACCATACCTACATGCTAAAAAACTTTACGATCACACAATAACGTCCCACGTGGGAAAGTTGTATCTGAAAAAAATCACAAGTGAAAGAAATAGTTTTCTGACTATTGTCCATATTTAGATATATTCCCGTGATGTCAGTCTCTCCGCTGACCTTTCATCACATGACCAAGCCGAACAATACCCACGTGATCAGCATCCGTAATGGCCAGCCAAGATGTGTGCGCAACGTCAGTGACTTCTATGGAAAGCTGCAGCGAGAGCCAGGAAAGAAAGTCGAGCGCGAGAGAACAGACAATGCGCAATCAGCAAGACTTTCTCACGACAGTGAACCCAACGACAAACAATTGAGTTTAAGGAAATGTAGGCTATCGTTGAAATCCGATTGTGGTTTGAAATCCGGGAGACCATCGAACATATCTGAAGACTCTTCGAACGAACTTGAAGATTTCTCTGACGATGAAGCAGACGTTGAAGGTAATATCACATTTCTCTATATGTATAGGGTGACGTATTACAGCCATGCTATAGTCCTCAATGTTCCTTGTTACAGATGCGAGATCAGCTAGGGTGGTCGGGTGGTGCAGAGGATAGCACTCCCGCCTTTCACCAATGCGGCCGGGGTTAGATTCCCCGATCGGACGTTAACAGGTTTGGGGTCACCTGTCCGACACGTGGGTTTTCTCCGGGTACTCCGGTTTTTCTCCCACAATAAGACCCCTGCGCGCCAACAAGCTGACCAACAAGCGTGATAAATATAAGTTTATATTACATGTTTCATAACTGTTGTAAAAAAAATCAAGTTTATATTTATGTTTAGATCAGCTCAAATCATGTTTCCAATGTAGAATTCACTTTGCAGGTTCGGGGAAAGAATAGGCCTGCTGTATTCCACTGCATGCTATTGTGGGAGGCTACTAATGTGGGACCCCCTGTAGAGTTGGGGTTTTATTCTGTGTCTTCTGCTTAATTAGGAATAGGAAAGTCGAAAATTGACCTCCCGCCCAAATAGCAATACTTATTATACATATTCCTTCTGTTACTTTTGCTCGAGTGGAGACTCCAGACTCCGCAAGTACCTGACACGAGACCTATACGCAAGGATATTCAGAGAAAGTGTTTTTCTCCTGCCCACACAACTCCAACATCCCAGGTCGAGTATAAATTGGTCTGAGGTGGATGTTGCGGTATATACTCTGAAGCATTTAAGTGAGGTGGCACAATAAATGATGCATTTGTAAGCACGGTCCCACTACGAACAGAACACGTTACATCTCCAGCGTACACGCAGGCATACACACATAAAGAGATATTAGCCAGGTGGCATAGGACTAGTAGTTACCGCCTGATAAGGTAGTTCATGCGAATTTCTCAAAATTGTATTTCTACTGTAAAGCGCTTTATATTTGCTTATGTTAGCTAAATAGGGCGCTATATCAAATGTTGTATATCATTATTACTAATATTACCTTCAGATTAACTGAATATATTATGTCACAGGGGCAAGTTCAAAGCGCTGGGACGACAACCCAAAGAAACACTACAAATCTCTATGCGGAGCAGCGGATGTTGTGCCGTCTTCTGCATTCCTCCGCCAGGTGGAGACCTCCGCAATGAACCTTTCTCATAGCTACCTCTCCCATTGGGATATCCGGATAATGAGTTATTTCCTCGTGGTATGTATGCATTAGAATGGGTGTTTTTTTCAATATCTAGCCTAGATAGCAGCATATCTGATTGGACAAAGCTGATCACATGACAGGAAAATACATGGATATCATAGTGTTTCCTTCCTGATCTTCCTTTGTCCCAACCTCGATATTCCTACTCCAACGGTTAAGCAAATTTTTGGTAGAGAGCGAAAGTAAGTGAACTACTCAGGATGCCACTTTGTCCCAGTCAAATTTCCATAATTCGATTTCTTCCTGTAAAAATGAGAGAAAGAAATCACCCTAGACTGGATTGCCAGTCACTCTCCGCCAGGCTTCACTTCAAAAATTCAATAAAAAGAAACTCCGACGTTCGTTGACTGAATTAACCAACAAGCGCTCGATTGGTCAGCATCCTGATCAAAATGGCGGCCATGCAATAAGACTGGACTACCTGCCGAAGTACCATTTCTCTCCGCTCAGTCTAGTGGAGAAAATGGTAGCTTACTATTAGACAAGTAATCCAGTCGTGTACCACCCCACCCACGTAAACAACAACCCTAACCCTAACACTGTACGTAAGCTGTTGTGTTATCGTTGTATATCGATACATATGTATCATTTTTCCAATATTAACCGAAATGAAATATGAACTTTCCTTTTAGTAGAAATACTTATTTTTTGTTTCCCCAATATCAACCATGACAAGGGCGCAGCCCTAATAAAACGGTATTTATCTCTGGGAAATAAAGAATCATTTCTACCTACCACAGGATCGATAAATCCCGTTGGTAGCTCTATTGATTTTTATGATGAACATAGTCATTAGCTATATCCGAGATTTTTACAACCTTTAAATGTTAAAGCAAGTAGCAAGCATATGTACAGCCGGTAGGTATTCTCTACTACACAAAACTCGTATTAATCTTTTATAGAATTCGAGCAAATACATCATTTGCGCCAACTTGTATCAATCTGATATAATCTAGCTGATTGTGACGTCATAATAATGATCTGATTTATGCAAGTAGTAGTACCTACCGTTTAGCGGTATGGCAAGCCAACTTAACATTTATTCAAGGAGCAATGTCGATCCTGTATTTCATCGAATTATATAAGTTATCTCATTTAATTTTCTATGTAAGATATCTTATATAATATATAAGATATCTCATATAGCTATATAAGATATCTTATATAATTAAAGTTTCGTTACTAAATAAGATATCTTATATAGGAACGAGATTTTAACAAAAGGTCGAAAATGAAGTCTCCCCGTCCGGAATATCCCGAGGATCTACGTAGGGACAGTAAGCTTGTTGTAACAACACGTGTTCCTGTCGCCGCCATTATGCCTGAGCCCACTTCAAGAGTGCGGGAAATGGCAGCCTCTGCTTTGGCCGCTATAAGAGAGACAAGGCGAGCTAGGACTAGCGAAAATACAGCAATCGTACCATCCCTCTCCGCCATTGCGCCCAATGCAATCCTGAATGTGCTCCGAATGAATCTCGAGGGAGAAATTAGTTTCTGGTTTTTAATGCCACGAAATCTCATTCTATATCAGATATCTTATATAGCAACGAGATTTCAATTATGTCAGATATCTTATACATTATATGAGATATCTTATATATTATATGAATATCTTATATAGAAAATTAAATGAGATATCTTATATGCGATATAAGATATCTTATATAGTATATATGATATCTTATATACTTATATAAGATATCTCATTTAATTTCTATATGAGATATCTCATATAGGATATACATGTAAGATATCTTATATATTATATAAGATATCTCATATACTATCATATGCTATATAAGATATCTTATATATTTTTTTGAAATACAGGATCGACAATGTTCCTTGAATAAATGTTAAGTTGCCTTGCCATACATCTGTGCTAACTTTGAACTTGTTTGCTGAATGGAACAGTGCGTTTCCAATTAAAAATGTACGTTTCAGCATTATCTAATACTCAAATAGGAAAAAAAACGATTTTTCCTATAATAACCTGCATAACATTTCGGTTTATCGCCATTATTTCACATTGTGACGTCGCTTGGAGTTAGTAATAATAGGTTACTATCATAAAAAAACGGTTGTACTGATTAAGTATACATCTAGGTACTATTTAATGACCATCTGCTCAAAGCGAATCTGTTCACTGCCTGCCATTTTGAATCAATAAATGAGGCGTTTCGGACAAACCGGTTCCTTTTTGAGGATCGTTGCATTCTTGGCTAGCTACTTGCCCAACTATAATGTTCCTCCGAAAGGGGAACACGTTAAATTAAGAAAATGTTGGATTAACATAGGTCCTACATGTATGAAGCGCTTTAAGCACATTTGTTGCAGTTAGGGAACTTACATTGTACGTAATGCTAGATATGCAGCAAGAATAAACAGTAAGAAAATTATATATTGAGTTATATATAGAGAGATTTTCTCCGTTTTACCGTTGGGTTAATATTTCTCCTACAATCAATATGAATTTCCTAACTCATCAACCACTCATTAGGATACTTAACACCATAGACTTGATTGCATTGGTCAATCTTTTGATGTTACGTCACGCAACATCGCTTGCGACGTCATCCTTCAAATGACGTTATGATTCACACATATAATGTAATGTTATCTGGGAAACATGTGGTTTTCCAGATAAAATACGAACGATATGGGGGTAAAGGTGCCCAAAGTCGTGACGGTTGGTTATCATCTTTATCTAACTCGGGATAGATATACATGAGTATCAACCATCATTCGTTGGGAGACGTCGTTTGTCAACAATCAAGCGAAATATAGCACAAAAGACTTGTAAATGTACCAGACTAACTGAATGTTATTGGAAAATGTACATTTCTTTGTCAAGTTTAGCTGTCATCTGTTTATCCTTACACCTTTAATTAATTTTCCAGAACAACGCCACTATCATTGAGCTTGACGTCTCCGGGAATCATATCGGGCCTCAAGGAGCGAGATGTCTGGCCCAGGCCATTCAGGAAAACGTTTTCATCACTGATCTTGTAGGTACTCATCACAGAACTTAAAGGTTTCCATTTTACTTGTTCTTGTAAGTTTTAACCACTGCGTGTGTAAGTCATTACCAGTAAACTTGTACGCTGTCTTTGCGCATGTGCAGATTGAGATCAAGCAGTAGAGTATGATTTATAATTACGCGTACAGATATTGACAACACACTTTTCATTTGTATAATTTTTAATGAGATGTCCCGAAATCTACATGCATCAGTAATAGTGTAATGACAAAAAAAAATACGAGAAATATTGCAATATCCCCCTCAAAAACCCCTTCACATGTCTATTTTTTTTTTTTTTTTTTTTTTTTTAACAGAACATGTCAGGCACGAATATCGAGGCTAAAGGTGTTCACTCTCTGGTCAGCGCTCTTCTTATCAATCGAACTGTCACCAAACTAAATCTCTCAGGTACGTTACTCGAGCAAACTACAATCGAGTTACCTCCCTTGTATCGGTAGAATTTCTCGTACATCAATTACCGTTTTACTTTGTAGAACGAACACTTCAGCCCCTACGTTTGATCAGCTGATCTTTTTCAGCGTATCTTAAATATCATTAATTGATGTTATAAAATCGAACGCATTATATTATTACACCGTAAGTCAGACTAAAATACAACATTGTGGTATAATTTATTTTATTTATTTTCGAAGCGCATCAATTGTTGTCTTCAGGCTTGTAAACGGATACAAGATACAAGATACATGAAACTTTATTAAACTTCGCATACAGGTAAACAATGAGCATTAGCTCTTGAGAGCTATTATTGCGACAATAATAGATGAGGAACAAGAACATTAATTATGCAAAAACACCAAACTTAATGCAACAAACCTTCTTGTTTTTGTGTTACGCAATGCGCCGTATCAACAAAAAAACAAAATAATTCACTTGACGAAAATGACGTGTTTTCATCGGCCTTTTCGGGACCAAAGAAATGACGATAATCAGATGTTTTACCAACTTTGATGTGTAATAAGTTTAACATATAGAACGAGTAATTAAATGTTTAGTAAGGTCTCCAGTTGAATGCCCAATTCCATATTATATAACCTTATATTTTATAGATATGTCCTGTGTTAAACCTATTATGAAAAATGGTGTTTCTGTATCATATTCTATGGGGCAAAGAAGTAATTCCAACAGTGTATCATATTCTATATAGATTGCATGCTATGTTTATTATTTTATATACTTAATTGTGTAATAAATGCACTATAATGAATACGTGTATGCTCTTTATTAATCATTTTACCATTGAATGACATAATTCGGCGTCAGTCCCAATGATCTGATGTGGCCGCGATTAACTCCACTTTACATATAATGTATAGTGCACTGGCAGTGTGATGATCAGGGGTTTTATAGTTGTAATAAAATGGCGTTTTCTGACAAACGTTACGCTTGAAAAAGCATGTGTTGATGAGTTTGTGAAATACAGGAACATAGACGGTGTGGTCATGTTTCAGGTAACAGGTTGGATCGTACACACACTCCTGATCTCGCCCGACTCATCAAGGTAAGACTGACATTTCGTCTTACTTCAAAATCAGAACAGTGTTGTTGTTTTTTTTATATCAGGACATCAATCAAGTTTAAGTTTCCACTGGGACGGCAAACAGTTGAACTATGTAATAGTTTTCTGTTAGGATGGTCAAACATATTTTTTTGTAAAATAATATAGATTCAATTAGGATGGTCAAACAATTGTACGATATTATAGATTCAATTAGGATGGTCAAACAATTGTACGATATTATAGATTATTTTAGGATGGTCAAACAATTGTACCATATCATAGATTCTATTAGGATTGTCAAACAATTGTAAAATATCATAGATTATATTAGGATGTTTCCATATCATAGATCTTATTATGATACACTGTATCAAACAAATATACAATATCATATTTTTTTATTATGATATCAAACACATGTACCCTATTATAGGTATCTTTTAGGATGTCAACAATTTGACCATATAAATCATATTAAGATGTCAAGAATTGTGATGTTTTATACTTTTCTATCCGGATGTACCATATTAAAATTTTATTCCAACAGGATTCCAACATTTTTACCATCTAACAAATTATATTAGGATATCAAAAATAAGATGTCCTCACATTACCATAGCTGTTGAGAAGACGTAAACCCTATTAAACCAAATGCAAACTTGATATAATTTCGATCAAGACGTCTGACAGTTGCAGTAAGTAATACATTATATTACGGCAATAACAGTAGTTGTAGTTTATGACATGTTCTAATCGTCTGTATTGTAGGAGAATGACTACATCGTTGACCTTGACCTTTCTCATAATGAACTGGACGAGCTCGCAGCGTGCAAGTTAGCCCCTGCCATAGGTAACTTGATACCCAATTGTAAAACCCTTACTGAAACATGTGGAACCCGGTTAAGTGGCAAACGTCATCCCTGTGTGTGTGATCACTGTGGAGATGCGGGCTTCCGGTACGTCTACAGATGGGAAAGGTTGACCGCCGCGACACTTCATGCTAAACATCCTCATTTAAAACATGACCATTAGTGCTTGGAATGATCATTACCGACAAATCTCGGTCAGGGATCAGATATACACAAGGGCGTTTGAAAAGCTATACTGAAGCCAACATTTTTGGTATGCAACAGCCGTGTCGGGTAGAGAGGTATACATGTAGATTGGTTCAGTATGAGAGGCCCGCAGACAACCAGATATTCCTCGGAGTTTTTCCGAGTTTATTAATAAAGCTTATATGTAGAATGTCCAAACCTCTCACACAACTATAGTGATGGACACTCTTTCTCCTACCTTGGATGTTGTTAAAATGGACACTGACATTGCGAACTCAACAATACACCAGTGGATTTTATGTACATCATACAGAAGCAGAAACATAGTATACCAATGACATACTTCAAATTATAGAAGTAGGAAAAAGCATATTAGCATTTTTAATTAGCAAATCCTTGAGGCGATATAAGTAGCCGACTCCATTTTGGCTGTAGATGTTTTCTGCTGACAATGACAATTTGATAACGTCATGCAACGGACATCTTTATTTCTTGCAATAGACATTGTTGTCTTTGTGTTAAATACATTCACAATCCTTGCAATATGGTAGTTGTACAAAATACGTTCTGACAAGTTATGTATCACTTTGAAATTACGTCACGTCAGCTGGCATCGCCCCGCCATAATACGATACATTTGTTTCCAATGCGGCCCTCAGTGGTGATATGGATGCATTGTTGAGTGTACATGTTGACGTGACGCTACTGCAAACCTTGGGTGCAATTCTTTCCATGTGCATGTGCATTCAACTTTTCCTGTTGTGGGATTAATAGGATCGCTCCCCCTTGTGGGTGAATAACGGGAATCTCAATTTTGAGGAAAGATTCTTAAGTTGCCAAACACTCGGCTGCCCCAGTGGGGTGAATGGTGCTTTGTTATTTGACAGCTTAATTACACGATTGATATTTGAAAAAAGTTTTACCCAGTATAGTGGGTGACCATAAATGTTTATCAACCCCTATCACGTTTATCAAATGAGTCGGAAGTGAAGAAACCTAAAGTGGATGTGGGATAACTTTCTGTCTTACTCCAAGTCAAAGACGGGATTTTCCTCTGTCGTAGCAATTGTGTGACGTCACGTCAACAATAGCAGATCAAGAAAGATAACTCCTAATTGCTGGAAATTATACGATAAAAGTTTTCATTTCATGAAAAAATCATCCTTTTCCACTTCAGGAGTAAGACAGTCATATTTAAATCTTCGTGGTAAGATTCTTAAAAGTCTGGCCTTCGGCAAAGCTTCGGTCTGGACATTGAGGAATCTAACCCCTAGTGTTGAGACGGGAGATTCCAAAGTTGCATGACGTCACGTCAACAATACGCTGAACTTGTAACGTTTACTTTGCACTATATATGTGACAGGGTCAACAGGGTATAAGAAATATGCAAGACCACACACTTGTGTTTTTATTGCGCGGATGAATATACTCACGAGTGTGCGGAGCGCACGAGTGAATATATACGTTCGCACAATAAATTAGTGCTTTCTGATTCGTTAGAAAAACCTTGTAGAGGTTATGCCGTCATGATATGACATGCAATTAATGTCAGCTTGCAATTGGAGACCATTCCAAGAAATGAAGGTCAAGTGGAGGTCAAAATAACAAATGACTTCTTACTGACAAAACTACAGGTTATGTTGTGTCACTTTCTACATAATTTTCAACACTAAAACTGCAAAGGATAAAAATGTCCGAAAAAAGTAGTATATAGTTGATGAATAGGTAACTGTGACCTTGTTATATATGGCCTAAATTATGTCAAAGATTCTCTCTATTCTTTGTTCTGAAATTCACATTAGAATCATGCAATAATCTTACTTATCGGTGATAGCCACCATAAGGCCCAAATGGCACCCCTCCCTTCAACTCGCGGGAACGATTCCTAAGTTGAACATAAGAATCTTCCCGGTCCGGTTGAGATTCCCCTGTCTCACCCCCAAGAGTATGAAAGATAATATAAATCTTACCGCGCAAAATCTATAATGCCGATTGCAGAGACCATTACTTTGGTAAGAGAAACTCTTCCTACGTCAAATAGGGTGTCATATAGTACTTTACTTCCTTACTTGTCCATACAGTTTTTTCATACACGAACACGTGTGATTATGCGAAGACAAATTGACGGGATATATCGTTTTAATACACGATAATCGTGATTGCATTTAACTTATTATAGTGTTTTCTATGTAGACATGAACGTGTCTCTGAAGAGGCTGGTCCTTAGATGGAACCACTTCCGGCGGACTGGGGCCTCTCTCATGGTCAAGGCGATTTGTGTGAGTATACATCTAGTGGACATTGACCGCCTTATAGTAACGACCATATGTGTGAGTATACATCTAGTGGACATTGACCGCCTAATAGTAACGAACATTTGTGTAAGAATACATCTAGTGGACATTGACCGCCTTATAGTAACGACCATTTGTGTGAGTATACATCTAGTGCACATTGACCGCCTTATAGTAACGACCATATGTGTGAGTATACATCTAGTGAACATTGACCGCCTAATAGTAACGAACATTTGTATAAGAATACATCTAGTGGACATTGACCGCCTTATAGTAACGACCATATGTGTGAGTATACATCTAGTGGACATTGACCGCCTTATAGTAACGACCATATGTGTGAGTATACATCTAGTGCACATTGACCGCCTAATAGTAACGACCATTTGTGTAAGTGTACATCTAGTGGACATTGACCGCCTTATAGTAACGACCATATGTGTGAGTATACATCTAGTGCACATTGACCGCCTAATAGTGACGACCATTTGTGTAAGTGTATATCTAGTGGACATTGCCCGCCTTATAGTATTGCCCATTTGTGTGAGTAAACATCTAGTGGACATTCACCGCCTTATAGTAACGACCAGATGTGGTATACATCTAGTGGACGTTGACCGCCATATAGTAACGACCATTTGTATGAGTATACATCTAGTGGACATTGACCGCCTTATAGTATTGACCATTTGTGTGAGTATACATCTAGTGGACCTTGACCGCCATATAGTAACGACCATTTGTATGAGTATACATCTAGTGAACCTTGACCGCCATATAGTATCGACCATTTGTGTGAGTATACATATAGTTAACATTGACCACCTTATAGTAACGACCATCTGTGTGAATACCCATACAAATTTGCATGTCCGACGAACAAGACCCTTGCAGTCACTGTCATTTGTTTCACTGTACTTCAAATCATTAATGTTCACTTTGCTTTTGAGTTATATTATGTGTTGCAATTATCCTTATTTTATATTTTGAAATTTTGGGATTTTCCAACTTATGTTTCAACGTATAGGTAGGCCTCATACTATTTCTACTGATGTAAACGAATCAGTACCTTGGGTGGTGACCCCGTAAATCTGACATCGTATGTCCTTTACAGAACAATGTGGAGCTGGAGGAGGCTGATCTCTCTTGGAATGGGTTGGGAGAAGAGGGGTGCCGCGCCTTCAAGGGATTCCTTGGTAAGAACCACACCCTCCGTTCACTGGATATCTCCAACAACCGGATAGCTTTCATCGACCTTGGCTACTTTATCGGAGGTCTGGTCAAGAACGACACCCTGTCAACTCTCAAGGTAGTTCACATTTCATCTGTGTGACGCCACCTAGCGGCGTTTTTTTGTGTAGTTATTAATGAATGCATTGCTCACTTCTGGGTGACTTTTCCAGTAATATATATATATATATGTTGGATTGTAATGATAAACTAGTTTGCACATATCCGTTATACACTGTAGATAAAACTACCAACTCAAATCTTTGCTATGAAAGCATGACACAAAACACTATTACACGTGCATGTTGTCCAATCGGAAAGTGTTCGTTTTTTTCCGTCCCACCATTAGTGTGATCGGGGACCAATCATATTGTGACGTCAAATTCAAACTTTGACCGAAATTCCAAAGTATTGTCAGACAGTTATTCGTCGCCTGACGGAAATGGAAACTGGAAAGTGCAACCTCGCTTCCGCAAAAATGACTGATCCATCATTTGATTGAAATTTTGTTTAAAACCAACACCACCATAAAACATAACCCGCAATGGAAAAAAAAGAATTTCGGTTGGTTTGAACACAAATAAACGGATTTAAATAAAATAGAGTAAAGTGTTCGGTCATTACCTAGTTAACATGCACGTGTCAGGATGACGACCAATGTTGCTATGAACATTTCCAGGTCACAACCCGCGTTGCCATGTAATTTTTCTTACTTTCATTTCTCTAGCTGCATGGTAACCCCATCACAACGGACGGTGCCGAAGCATTGTGTGTCGCTCTGGAACACTGCAAGACCACCGCCATGACAGAGATCAACATCGAGGTACGGTCTATCACCAATTAAGGGATTTCATGTTTAATACAAATACATATTTTAATGAATGATACTTGGCGGATAGACATTCGATTCTGATAATTAAGTACGTATATCAATGCATTTCCTTACACAGGATACTCCTGCCGATGATAAGCTTTGCAAGGCCAAGGAGGCTCTCCGAGCTGTCCACGACATCAATGTTATCTACCGTGAACCAATAGGACACCGGTTGTCGCCCATTACGACCCGGAATAGATGCCAGGACCCCGTACTTGTGCTGTTTGAGTATATGAAGCAGGAGAACTTACGCTTGATTGATCTGTTCAGGCATCTGGACCGTGACAAGAGCAATTCAATTTCCCGAGAGGAGTTCAGGGAGGGTTTCCTGGTCAGTAGCTATACATGTCGCTCCTAGTCAAGTTCTTATGCAGATATAACACCATACATGTATTCGAATTAAATCGTTAAAACTGTTGTGTGACGTAATTTAACGTTAGGTTAATGTTGATAGCTACACCGATATACAATGTAACGTTAGTGTTAATAGCTACATCGAAATACAATGTAACGTTAGTGTTAATAGCTACACCGTTATAATGTAACGTTAGTGTTGATAGCTACACCGTTATACAATGTACCAACGGTAATGCTAATAGCTACACCGTTATACAATGTAACGTAACGGTAATGTTAATAGCTACACCGTTATACAATGCAACGTAACGGTAATGTTAATAGCTACATCGTTATACAATATAACGTAACGGTAATGTTAATAGCTACACCGTTATGCAATGTAACGTAACGGTAATGTTAATAGCTATACCGATATACAATGTAACGGTAATGTTAATAGCTACACCGTTATACAATGTAACGTAACGGTAATGTTAATAGCTACACCATTATACAATGTAACGTAACGAGAATGTTTCTAGCTACACCGTTATACAATGTAACGATAATGTCACTCGGTAATGTTAATAGCTACACCGTTATACGATGCAATGTAACGGTAATGTTAATAGCTACACCTATATATAATGTAACGTAACGTTAATGGCTACACCGTTATACAATGTAATGTGACGGAAGTGTTAATAGCTACACCGGTATACAATGTAACGGAACGGTAATGTTAATAGCTACATCGTTATAGAATGTAACGTTACGGTAATGTTAATAGCTACACCGTTATACAATGTAACGTTACTGTTAATAGCTATACCGGTATACAATGTAACGGTAGTGTTGATAGCTACCCCATTATACAATGTAACGTAACGATAATGTTTCTAGCTACACCGTTATACAATGTAACGGTAATGTCAATAGCTACACCGTTATACAATGTAACGTTAGTGTTAATAGCTATACCGGTATACAATGTAACGTTAATGTCAATAGCTATACCGGTATACAATGTAACGTTAGGGTTAATAGCTATACCGGGATACAATGTAACGTTAATGTTAATAGCTATACCGGTATACAATGTAACGTTAATGTCAATAGCTATACCGGTATACAATGTAACGGTAGTGTTGATAGCTACACCATTATACAATGTAACGTAACGAGAATGTTTCTAGCTACACCGTTATACAATGTAACGATAATGTCCCTAGCTACACCGTTATACAATGTAACGGTAATGCCAATAGCTACACCGTTATACAATGTAACGTTAGTGTTAGTAGCTATACCGGTATACAATGTAACGTTAGTGCACCTATATATAATGTAACGTAACGTTAATGGCTACACCGTTATACAATGTAATGTGACGGAAGTGTTAATAGCTACACCGGTATACAATGTAACGGAACGGTAATGTTAATAGCTACATCGTTATAGATACAATGTAACGTAACGGTAATGTTAATAGCTATACCGGTATACAATGTAACGTTAATGTCAATAGCTATACCGGTATACAATGTAACGGTAGTGTTGATAGCTACACCATTATACAATGTAACGTAACGAGAATGTTTCTAGCTACACCGTTATACAATGTAACGATAATGTCCCTAGCTACACCGTTATACAATGTAACGATAATGTCCCTAGCTACACCGTTATACAATGTAACGATAATGTCACTCGGTAATGTTAATAGCTACACCGTTATACGATGCAACGTACCGGTAATGTTAATAGCTACATCGTTATAGAATGTAACGTTACGGTAATGTTAACACCGTTATAATGTAACGTTAGTGTTGATAGCTACACCGTTATACAATGTACCAACGGTAATGCTAATAGCTACACCGTTATACAATGTAACGGTAATGTCAATAGCTACACCGTTATACAATGTAACGTTAGTGTTAGTAGCTATACCGGTATACAATGTAACGTTAGGGTTAATAGCTATACCGGGATACAATGTAACGTTAATGTTAATAGCTATACCGGTATACAATGTAACGGTAGTGTTGATAGCTACACCATTATACAATGTAACGTAACGATAATGTTTCTAGCTACACCGTTATACAATGTAACGATAATGTCACTCGGTAATGTTAATAGCTACACCATTATACAATGTAACGTTAGTGTTAAGAGCTATACCGGTATACAATGTAACGGTAGGGTTAATAGCTATACAGGTATACAATGTAACGTTAGTGTCAATAGCTATACCGGTATACAAAGTAACGTTAGTGTTGATAGCTACACCGTTGTACAATGTAACGTAACGGTAACGTGTCGAGCTACACCGTTATACAATGTAACGGTAATGTCAATAGCTACACCGTTATACAATGTAACGTAACGGTAATGTGTCGAGCTACACCGTTATACAATGTAACGTTAGTGTTAATAGCTATACCGGTATACAATGTAACGTTAGTGTTGATAGCTACACCGTTATACAATGTAACGTAACGGTAACGTGTCGAGCTACACCGTTATACAATGTAACGTAACGATAATGTTAATATCTACACCGATATACAATGTAGCCTGATTAATGTAGATACTTACTCTGATTACAACGTTAACTATTTAACGTAAATATTTACTAGGTTTAACAATGATATACTATCTGACCTCATTATTTACACTTTTATTCGAAGATTTAGATTATACACAAAGAATTGAAGTAGATCGTTTTCTTTATGTGTGAAATATACCTTTCCTAATATTTCCCAATATAAGAAATAAAGGACTTCGAAATTATCTTTTGCGTATGTTCGAGTTTGGATTCAAGCATTCAAAAATGTAAACTGTGATGATTTCTTAGATGCACTAAGTTTGGAGATATGCTACCTTACACAATATACCTGTGATTTGTATTACAGTTTCCTCCATTACATAATTATCTTATTCAGGCAGTTCACAAAATGTTTCAGTATTTTCAACGAATACCTTAAACTAATCCCAAGTCTAAATTACAATCTATAAAAGTTGCTTTGTTTAAGAAATCGGCTGATTATGAACAGGTAAGATACCATCTTTTTGTCTGACGTAGATGATGAACATCAAATTAACGGAGGAGGGACTAGACCACCTGCTTAATAAACTGGACAAAGACAAAAACAACCTTGTCGACTATAAGTAAGTTAACGGGTATCTCCAAACAGATCTAAAAATTAGATCTAGATTCTCGTTTTTTATTGATTTAAATTTCGGGGGTTGATTGGTATCCATTGTGTATAACTTTCATTATTTTTTTTTAGCAGCTTTTCATTTTGTTAAAGAAGTAACATTGACTTACATTCAAGACCACAGTTGTCAAAAAGCAAGGCCTGAAGCCATGTAAATTTTGATTGGTGAGGGAATGTGTATCTTGTTCAAATAAATAACCGTACTTTATCTTCAAGACCACGATGATCATATGTTATAAAATGGCCAAATAAATCAACTTACAACATATTTGAAGTCACAGGGTCAAAGATGTTGAAACCCCAAACAACTTGTTCACAATGCCTAGAATAGTTTTTTACCAGTGTCTTATGCGTCTAAGTGGCTGTTCAACTTTATGATATTTCAAATGAATGATCAAACAAATGTTACCGTTTGGCTGATACAAGATTGTCAGCTATAAGTATTGTTTTCAAAACAATGAAATAACGAAAGTGATACGGGTATCATGGGCTCTTGTTATTTAAACAACTTTCCAAATTGCATGGTTAGACTGTGCGATGACGTGTTGTTAGATCATCCGTTAGCTTTTCTACTTGAGAACCATAATGCCTACAGTCGTCATATTCGGTTTGACGTGCTCGTGTATGAATTTTCCTGAAGAGCCACGGTGCCTAAGTAATCATATAAATCATGTGGCTTGGTGGGATGATATACATGTACTATCAGTTTTGTTTTACTTAATTACATTGACCGACTTTCATGATCACTTGAGTTATAAACGGCGTCTCCTAAAGAACGACGATGTCAATAGTGACTACAGTAGCACAAATGTGAAATGATTTTAAAACTTCAAACAACTTCTTAACAAAACGTGATGACTAGAGTGAAATTACATCCTGCTTGGTGTGATAAAACGTGATCAGCTTTGTTCAAATGTGTAACGTGACATACCTGCAAAAGAATTAAAACAAACTACAATTGTATATCTGTTAAAGACACGTGATTAATTTTGCCTTGTGACCTGGTTATACCTGTTAATTGATTGAAAACCAGGTGAGCTAGGCAGGCTCATGGACCCTCTTGTTATGTTTATTATTTATTGGTTATCGTATTATTCAGGGCCTTCAGAGCAAGTGTAAATATACGGAATATGACATATGTACAACTTGATCGGTAACATGTTTTTTTTCTTCAGTGAATTGATCAAAAGTAAAAGAGAAATTACGCGACACCATCTGAAGAATGGCTCTGATATACTACAGGACGAAAGCTACAAGGAAATGTTGGACGCTATCAAGGAGATGTTAACCAAAGCAAAAACCACGCCTACAAATAAGGTATCTGCGTCTGCGCACGCAAGAACTACCTCCGGTACAATCACTTCCAGTGACAAGAAAATGGCGATGTGATAGTGTAGACATTGTTTCGTTTTACGTTATGCCATCGTTGAATGGTTATGATTGGTGTATATGTTTATTGTACAGTTATGACGTGTTTGTAAAGAAAAATGTGAAATAAACAGCTATCGTTGCGTATGTTATGAAATGATAACATTGTGAACTGTAACTCATACACCATGTTGGTCGAAACATATTTATGATTTCAACATTCTGAATATATCTATAGTGGCAAAAACAAAGTCTGCTGATGTAGATTTTATCGATTTGTTTTTTCATTATTAATACAATATTTATTCAGAAGAAATTGTGGAACATAACAAATTGAACGAGTATTTTTCTTTACTATACAAGAGTTTCCTGACAAATAGGTTCTAGTTCACTGTCCCAGAGATTCAGCAGTGGTTAAAGATGTACAAATCTTTTACCCAGAAGTCTCCTGACAATCGATTATTCTGTTACGGGATAGTACGTTGTGTGGAGTGTCTTTACTGGCAATAAGTTCATGATACAAATGTATATGGTTTGATCTCGAGATCACAAGTTTGGGAGTTTAAACCATTTTCTGGTTCTAATTGCTCATACTGGCGCGTGTTATTTTAGATAGTCCTGTTAACAACAGCTTTACGACACCAATCAATCATTCAGTGTGCATGCCAACCTTAGCTTTCGAAATCAGTGATTATTTCCTGTGAGAAGTATGTATATGTTCTGTAAAATGCACACCATGCATATGTGTGGATAAGAAATATTCTTACGACACACCGATTGGATGAAAGTTAAAGTTGTAAAATAGGATCAGTGGGAGGGATATTTATATTTGTTCAATAAATACATTTGTCACAAAACGGCAGAGTGTTATATTCGCCATGTTGTTTTCCCTTTCCCTTCTGTATTCATGAAACCACTATCATGCTTAAGCAATCTATTCATCCTTCATTACACAAAAATTATAATTTTTAAACAATTATTGTGGTATATTATTTGGTTCGAAATTCTTGCTCTGGTATTGATTTGACAGAAATATAGAAACAAGATACTAAAAACATTGATAGCAAATTGTGTAAGGGGTTTATATGTATATATTAAACGCGTGAGTAGCTCTTCGATCCATGAAGCTCTATATATGTGACCAATACGGAAATTACTCCCTAATGGCGTGGTGTCGATTACATACGCTGCTCTGGCACTTCGTTTCAGATTACAAAAACTGATATCAATATGCTGTAATGCACATCGCCTTTTAAATGTAGCTGATACTGGCATTGCTAATCGCTTGTATCCTGTGTCATGGGTGAGTATGTCTGTATACGGGAAATCCAACAAAGCACTCGCAATGATTATTATTAGTCGAATTTAGGTAGACGTCATGAAACATCGAAAAACGGTCGAATTTCAGTTGGTCGGACACCGTGCTGTCCCAAGGATGACACGCGGGTAGCATCAATAATGCAAACACACGGCACCTACGTTGATCAGTGTCAGTAACCGGTTTCTACCATAGTACAGTAACACTCTATGGACACGAGTTCAGTTGTCAACTTGGTCAGACTGTCAATCGGAAATCTGTGGACGGAGACAGACATATTTTTTTTAAATTTTTATGACAACGACGCTGATTGGCTTCTAACTATGACGAGCCAATCAGCGTCGAGGTCACAAAAGTTTGAGAAAATGGATGTCTTTGCTCACAGTTCCGATCGTCAGCCTGACCAGCTTGAAAACTGGACTCGAATGTCCAACATGATAATGTTAGAGAATACACAATCATGCGAGTAAGTTTTCTCCATATTTTGTAATGTACTTAATTAATAATATCAGTGAATGTTGTAAATAAAAACCATTGTGTGCGTCTTAAAAGTGGTAAAATACCTTGGAAATCAATCAAAGATTAAGAACCAGCCAGTTGGTAGACTGTCCGTCCTTTGTTTACATCCCCGTCTGGTCTGCTGTTTCGATTATTCTCCTGGGTTCTACCAAATCTATCAGTAATGCCAAAAACATGTCAGGAAATCTTGTTTTTGTTGTTGTTGTTTGTTTCTTTTTTCCTGGTGAGAAACTATTACTTTTATTTTCACCTCTTCGGCCCCTAGCATCACCGATGATAATTACTCTCCCTTTCGATGCCTGTTGTTTGTACATCGTATACATTAACATATCTTTGCGGCATATTTTGATACACGTATATATATAATTAAATCATGTATAACATGAGATAAACAAGTACGAGGAGAGTGTCTGGTCTCCAACAATGTACCAACAACATCAATCCTATTGTTGTATGGCCTATGTAACTGTAGACCGTATAAAACTGTAACAAGACTGTGTTATACCGTAACAAGACTGTATGATACCGTAACAAGACTGTATGATACCGTAACAAGACTATATGATACCGTAACAAGACTGTATGATACCGTAACAAGACTGTATGACACCGTAACAAGACTGTATGATACCGTATCAAGACAGTATGATACCGTAACAAGACTGTATGATACCGTAACAAGACTGTATGATACCGTAACAAGACTGTATGATACCGTAACAAGACTGTATGACACCGTAACAAGACTGTATGATACCGTAACAAGACTGTATGATACCGTAATAAGACTGTATGACACCGTAACAAGACTGTATGATACCGTACCAAGACTGTATGACACCGTAACAAGACTGTATGATATCGTAACAAGACTGTATGATACTGTAACAAGACTGTATGATACTGTAACAAGACTATGTGATACCGTAACAAGACTGTGTGACACCGTAACAAGACTGTATGATACCGTAACAAGACTGTATGACACCGTAACAAGACTGTATGACACCGTAATAAGACTGTGTGATACAGTAACAAGACTGTATGACACCGTTACAAGACTGTATGATACCGTAAAAAGACTGTATGTACAGTAACAAGCCAGTAAGTTACCATAACAAGACTGTATGATCCCGTAACAAGACTGTATGGTACCGTAACAAGACTGTATGATACCGTAAAAAAACTGTATGATCCCGTAACAAGACTGTATGATACCGTAACAAGACTGTATGATACCGTGACAAAACTGTATGATACCGTAACAAGACTGTATGGTACCGTAACAAGACTGTATGATACCGTAATAAGACTGTATGACACCGTAACAAGACTGTATGATCCCGTAACAAGACTGTATGATACCGTAAAAAAACTGTATGATCCCGTAACAAGACTGTATGATACCGTAAAAAAACTGTATGATCCCGTAACAAGACTGTATGTACAGTAACAAGACTGTGTTATACCGTAACAAGACTGTATGATACCGTAGCAAAACTGTATGATACCGTAACAAGACTGTATGATACCGTAACAAAACTGTATGATACCGTAACAAGACTGTATGTACAGTAACAAGCCAGTCAGTTACCATAACAAGACTGTATGTACAGTAACAAGCCAGTAAGTTACCATAACAAGACTGTATGATCCCGTAACAAAACTGTATGATCCCGTAACAAGACTGTATGATACTGTAACATGACTGTATGATACTGTAACAGGACTGCATGATACCGTAATAAGACTGTATGACGCCGTAACAAGACTGTATGATACAGTTACAAGACTGTATGATACCGTAACAAGACTGTCGGATACCGTAACTAGACTGTATGATACCGTAACAAGACTGTGTGATACCGTAACAAGACAGTGTGATATCGTAACAAGACTGTATGATACCGTAACGAGACTGTATGATACCGTAACAAAACGGTATGATACAGTAACAAGACTGTATGATACCGTAATAAGACTGTATAACACCGTAACAAGACTGTGTGATACAGTAACAAAAATGTATGATACCGTAACAAGACTGTATGATACCGTAACAAGACTGTATGATACAGTAACAAGACTGTATGACACCGTAACAAGACTGTATGACACCGTAACAAGACTGTATGATACCGTAATAAGACTGTATAACACCGTAACAAGACTGTATGATACCGTAACAATACTGTATGATACTGTAACATGACTGTATGATTCCGTAACAAGACTGTATGAAACCGTAACAAGACTGTATGATACAGTAGCAAGACTGTATGATACCGTAACAAGACTGTATGATACTGTAACAAGACTATATGATACTGTAACAAGACTGTATGATACAGTAACAAGACTGTATGACACCGTAACAAGATTGTATGATACCGTAATAAGACTGTATGACACCGTAACAAGACTGTGTGATACAGTAACAAGACTTATGATACCGTAACAAGACTGTATGATACTGTAACAAGACTGTGTTATACCGTAACAAGACTGTATGATACCGTAACAAAACTGTATGATACCGTAACAAGACTGTATGATACCGTAACAAGACTGTGTGACACCGTAACAAGACTGTATGATACCGTAACAAAACTGTATGATACCGTAACAAGACTGTATGTACAGTAACAAGCCAGTAAGTTACCATAACGTAACAAGACTGTATAATACTGTAACATGACTGTATGATCCCGTAACAAAACTGTATGATACCTAAAAAAAACTGTATGATCCCGAAACAAGCCTGTATGTACAGTAAAAAGCCAGGAAGTTACCATAACAAGGCTGTATGATACCGTAAAAAGACTGTGTGACACCGTAACAAGACTGTCGGATACCGTAACAAGACCGTATGATACCGTAACCTGCTAGTTAGTTACCGTAACGAGACTGTATGATACCTTAACAAGACTGAATGATACCGTAACAAACCTGTATGATACCGTAACAAGACTGTATGATACCGTAACAAGACTGTCGGATACCGTATCTAGACTGTATGATACCGTAACATGCTAGTTAGTTACCGTAACAAGACTGTATGATACCGTAACAAGACTGTATGATACCGTAACAAGACTGTATGATACCGTAACAAGCCAGTAAGTTACCGTAACAAGACACTATGATACCGTAACAAGACTGTATGAATGATACCGTAACAAACCTGACACCGTAACAAGACTGTATGATCCCGTAAAAAGACTGTATGATACCGTAACGAGACTGTATGATACCGTAACAAGAGTGTATGATACCGTAACAAGACTGTATGATACAGTAACAAGACTGTGTGATACAGTAACAAGACTGTATGATACCGTAACAAGACAGTACGATACAGTAACAAGACTGTATGATACCGTAACAAGACTGTATGATACCGTAACGAGACTGTATGATACCGTAACAAGATACTATGATACCGTAACAAGACTGAATGATACCGTAACAAGACTGTATGATACCGTAACAAGACTGAATGATACCGTAAAAAGACTGTATGATACCGTAACAAGACTGTATGATACCGTAACAAGACTTATCAAAAGTCATTCAGTGCCACATGTCCTTTGGAGTTTGACAGTTAAATGTCTAGCCAAAAGATTAGCCATACAATATGTCACGAAACTAATTTTAACTAGAAGATAGTGTAAGGATGAAGAATTACGTCATCAATGTGACTTTGTGTACAGTGATATCGCCATCGATATCGTTCTACAGTGTGATTATACAGGAGAGTTAAGAGATAGTTTATGGTATGATATTATAAACATATGTGACATAATGCTTAGCATGTAAAGGTTACTGCATAGGTTTCGAGTAACAAGGGATATATTACACTCTCGCCTCGCTCGGGTGTCAGAAGTCCCGAGTGACGAGAAATCATGCAATAACTGCCTTACTGCATGCTTCCCAACTCGAACAAAACAGAAAAGTTGAGTAAAAAATGTTCACCTGGACAATCTTTTTACCTACCCTACACTGCAGCCAGATTTACATGTACCTGTGTGAGTGAGTACTAATTATAACCAGGTAAGATTCTCAACAGCCCAGTCTGAGTGTATCCTTCATAATGGATACAAGTGTTTTTGGATTTCTATCCAGGTCCATTGTCAGGGAAGGTAAGGAATGTCTGTTCAAAATACGGTCATGTAATCA